GGGGAAGCTAGAGCCCCCGGGGAGTGGACAATACTGTAATTTTCATTCTGGTCAGTTCTGAAACGTCCCCACCCCTGCCCTCCAAGTCCCACCTAGAGGCCGCTCTGCCCTCATTAGTTACCTGGCTTAACCTACTAGCCTGTCAACTTCCTGTCCCAATGCCCCATGCACAATTCGGCCCCAACCTCCTCCAGCCAATTCCGTCCACAGTAACACTGCTGGAAACTCGTCACTTCTTGTTCCTGCTTCCTGCTTCCTGCACGTGCTTTTTCCTGAAACCCGCCCGATTCTTCCCCATTCTCGCCCTCCAAAGCCTTCTACCTCCGCCTCGTCTCTCTGCAGCCTTTCAGGTCTCCCCGAGCATCTGTCTCTTCCACCTCACACTACTTTGCCTCAACTTCTTTATGGTATTTCCCATCAGTCAGTGCTCTGTAGCCTGCGGTTCCTCTATCCCTGCACTGCCTTCCCTCCTGCCACGCTGCCCGTCTGCGCTCTAGCTGGTCTTCATGGAGACAAGATTCCACGCTGTCCACCCAGTTCTTCTCTGTGGATTATTCTCACTAGACACACACACGCGTTGCTTCCCATCTTCACAGAGGAGGCCTTGCTCTCTGTCTATTGTCCTCCTCCCTGTTTCTTCTCCGCCTACTACAGACACTGCCAACCACTCCACCAAAGCCCTTCAGGTCGCCAGTGACCTCCATGTTCTCCTTTGCTAATTTCTCCTCCTCTCCCAACCCCAGGATGGGCTTCCTGTACCTTTTCTCTATCTGTCCTCAACCCTCGAGATCCCATTCACCTCCAAATGTACCCTCAATCTGTCCACGCCCTCCTCTGAATCTCACTCTATCTCCTAACTGGCCCCTCTAGAGCTATTCTCAACTCAATGGCCAGAGTATTCCTGGTGGTAGGTGGCGTCAGATCACATTATATCCTTTGCTGAACCCCTATCCATGGATCCCGCTCAGAAAATGCGGAAAGAAATTTGCCCCTACCCAATCCCCGTTGCTCACTCTCTCTAGCTAAGTCGGCCTCCTTGCCAGTCCTCCTTCATGCCAGGTACCCGTCCACCCTAAGGCATTTGCAGACCCTTCCCACTGCATGGAGGCCTCACCAACCTCCCGACCTGCCCCAGAGTACAGGCTGCACAGTTCAAGCATTTATGCAAACATTCCACCACCACATTGCTCTGTCCAGCACTCCTGCCCCTTTAAACTGCTGAGTGTTCTCCACAGCACTCATTACACACATGCGCACACCTACATCTGTCAAAACCTCCCCGAGGGAAGGACTTGTACTACTCACCACTGTAGCTCCAACATGCAGATCAGCACCTGACATACAGCAGAAGCACGATATACACTTGCTGACAAGTCCATAATGAACATGCCTGGTTCTGCTTTGTATGCTCTGCAAGAACTTTTACGCAGTTAAAAGCAAGCTCAAGAACTCACATGGTTGAATATAAAAACAAATGCATTAAAACCTGGTGGGGTGGGTAGGGGCTGGGAGGAGGGGAGTAAAGGGAGGGAAATAGGAGATATCTGTAATACTATCAACAATAAAAAATATATTTAGAAAGAAAAAAATGCACTGAAAACAACAGCTTAAAAAAAAGTCACATCACTGCTTAAAATGGGAAGGTTTATTAAGGTTTTTCTTCAAGGGGCACAGCCAGGCCTGTGCTGCTTCAGAGAAGCAATTCGCAGGAAATGTATGGCACACCTTGCGCCCAGAACCATAGAAGGCTGCTGCTTAACAAGCCAGAGAACGTGTACCCCATCCCAATCCCCCGTAAAGCTCTTGTGAACATCTCAAAACAGACCCATCCTTCCCAGAAACCAGAACGAGGCACCCGGTTCGAAGTCACCAGCTGTTCTCGACAAAAACTATTTAAGCAAGACATGGCATCAAATAAGTGGATGGTACATTCATCGAACCCACGAGGAGACTGCATTAAGAAAAATCCATGCTCAATGCAACGTCAAACTGCACTTTCAAGAGTAGGCTACATTTTTTACATTTTGGGGGAACAGAAATGCTAGAAGCTGGGTGGCTGGGCTGCCTTAAAGCTTCCATTCACTGCCTTCCCCACCAGGCGGGTTCCTTCCAGGTCCTGGAACAGCACCCAACCACTCTGCCCTTATGAGTTTGGAGCTGAGCCCACAAGGGCTATTTCAACATACATTTAAGTAGATCCTTAAATAAGTACATGCCCCAAATAAAACAAAAGGCGGTTTTACAAGTTATTTTCCTCCCCCGAATACCTGAGGATTTCTTCAGTTTGGTCTCACCACACACACAATTTATACCAGCCTATCTTACGTCTCTGGAGATTCTGTGATGGCTCACCCAGGAAATGCTGAGGCAACCTCTCTCTCTCTCTCTGCCCCTCAGTCCTAAACACAGAACTCAAGACATGTACGCAGACGGACCAATGTACCTCAAAACATAATGAGGCACAATAGTTGAAACTGGCTGGTCCAGAAAATGAAGAATGCTCACGAGTGGAGACAAATAGCTTCAGATCAAGTAACCTGTTTTAATCAAGTTGGTAATAAAATAAAGATCAGTATCTTCCCAAGGATTAACTTTTGCCAAGTACATTCTAATTTTAAAGCAGCAGGCGGTTTCAGTGAGGAGCAAATGGTGGCCAGTGATGATGGCAGGTGGCGGGGCCGCACAGAGATGAGCTCAGAGTTGTAGGGGGAGAGAAACACACCGAACATTCCTAAGAGAACGAGCCCTGTGGCCGCGGTTCAATAAATGACAACACTATGCATAACTGATAAACTGCCTGTGTATCTTCCCTGTCCACTCAGAGGGCAAACTCTAGTGGGAAGGCCTTAAAGCCTCTTAGTGAGGCACGCAGTGTTTACAGAACAAATGGCACCAATACATACTTTTAATTCAATGCTTACAGAAATGTTAACTGGTGTTGAAGCTCCCCCTCGTGGAGGACAAAAGTATAGCTAGATTATGTACTTACTGTTCATTTCTAAGCCTGGGTTGTCTGGGTACCACTGGACCACTAACGTTGTGTGTTAGCAGGAAAAAGCTGGCTGACCATCAGTGGTGACATCACGTTTCCTTTCCATTGCCTGATCCTCATACAAGCAAATCCGTCACACCTCAAATAGCTGCAAACACTAATATGGTGGCAGTTCTCGGCTACTTATCACAAGATTCACGCAACATGAAGGACTTGTTGAGTTATGAAAATCCATCGGACTTTCAGGCACCCTCCCTCTGGAACCAAGGCTGCAGAGTTCCACAGGGACAACACAAAAGCACACCTGTCTCACCGTCCACAGCCCAGCAGATTCCTGAGACAGCAGCGCCTGTGTGACTCGGCCAGGCCCACTCTGCGTGACTGCATGGCTCCCGGCCTTTTTCTTCGCGGTCCTACCTCTATCCCAAGACTGTGACAAAGGAACCCTGCACCTGTCATCCTTCCGGACCCTCTTCTAAAACAGAGGACAGCAAGTTTACATAACCCAGCAGATTGGAGCTGGGATTATTCTTATGTAATGATTTCTGCTTGATCTGGCAAGAAACTACATAGTCTATTTAACAGGTAATACTCAGAATTTTTCACTCGTCTGTGAGATATCTATGATTTTAAGTCCAAGAGGATGTTTTGAGAGGTGAGTCTTAAAGCAAAAATGACTTTAAGGACCTTAAAATATGCCACCCTGACCTGGACAGACTGGCCCTAATGCTTCACTTATTTTTTTTTGTTTTTAATTTATTGCATTTACCAGATTTTTGGCCCCTCAATCCCAGACATAAGTATAAGTGGATCAATAGGAGGTAAAGTATTAGGTAACTAAGTTTATTAGAAACTCAAAGGAATACAATTTCCTTTTTTTTTTTTTTTTAACAGCACTTAACATTTTCCAGGTGGTCAGAGCTTACACTTGAAATCTGAGTTCAAAATTTCTATTTCGTAACTGGCTGACCACACTCCTGGAAAGTCTCAGCGAGGTGTGAACGTAGCGCTGCCTCTCCCCCGTGGCTACGAGCCAGCATCTAGATCCCTGAGCAAGAATGCGGGCTTCCTAGTTCTGGTGTCCGCCTAACAGTCAGGGACAAGGCACAGGGGCCCTAAGCTTGTTCTTTCCTTCTCCAGATGTAACTGGCTAACAAGCTGTTTTGCTCGATTTCTATGGAGAATACATAGGTCATATCAACCTTTGTCCATGTCCTACTTAAGCCCCATCTTTTGAAGAAAGAAAGAAAAGAAAGGAAGGAAGGGAGGGAGCGAGAGAGGGAGGGAGGAAGGGAGAGAGGGAGGGAGGGAGGGAAGGAGGGAAGGAGGAAGAAATGAAGGAAGGAAGGAAGGAAGGAAGGAAGGGACGGACTGGGAAAGAAGGAAGGGAGGGAGGGCGGGCTGAGAAGGACAAGAAAAGCATCACTCTATAGCCAGCTAGAATTGTAACTGAGCAGTACTTTCCGGACTACCACTGTTATGCTACTCTGCAGAGAGTCAAAGCAAAAGCATCTCTGCGACTTCACTCACACTCACTTCTCTTAGATTCCTCAACCTATCATAAAGCAAATGTGAACATTTTACATGACATTTCATTGTTGGACTCATACGCACAAATTAACAATGGCAAAAAGATTCCCTTAATGAAGTTACAAGCCATGGAAGATTTGCAAAAGTTAAACCCTGATACAGTATTAAACTTATATTTTTACATATAAAAATAATACACAGTGGGACATTTTATTCAATAAGATACATTCTTTAAGATCAAGAGAGAATATACAAAACTATTCTATGTAGCCCGCTGTATGTTACTGTATAATAGGAATAAATATACCCAGAACAGACAGTGCAAGATGTTCTGAGAAATTACCAGTTACTTAGGGGGTTTCAAGCCAAGTGCTCTGCAGGTTCCAGGCAGAAAGGAGCTACTTGTTGCATTTAAAACGATGTGGTCATTATAAAATAAAGGCCTTAAATCTATAAACAATAACAAAGACACACAAACCAAATGTTAGTGCCTGACGGAAGGAATCATGATAAAAAGGTCAATATGAAATCATTTGATTATAGTAGCAATATCTAACTTCTGAAATGCATCCATGCTCTTTTGTATAATCATATTAGAGTCAAGTATATTTATTTTCACATCTGTTATAACTGCTATTGCAAAGGAGAAATACTATTGTCTTATTTTCTGAGAGATATACACAGAGCAATTTTTTTTTCTCTCCAGGGAACTTGTGCAAACCAATATAAGATCTAAATTCTTCACATAATATATAAAACAGGAGAAGCCGCTTCAGATTTATTTTTTGAAGTCTGGAATGCTGGCACTTTCCAATTAGGCAACAGTTCTTCATTCCTGTAATCTAGAATGTTGAATAGATACAGACATATGTTATATATACGGTTAATCTCTTGATGTCAGAACATAATAGTAAACAAGCAGATATTTAATAATATAGAAAGAAACAATGGTTTTGGCTGATTGTTACTAGAGAACAAATTATACTAAGCAGCTCTAGTAATAGGGCTATTTTAAACTCCCTTTAAAAGTGTTTATAAAGTAGTTTTATTATACTTAGTGTTTTACAATATATCTGACAGTCCTGTCTATAAAGAGGAAAACAGTATTTATTTTATTTCTATCCTATTATAATTTTATTCTGAAAGTTCCTTTGCAGTAAGGAAACAGCATCTGCTTGCAAACTCTTTCTATGGGAATTTAAAAAATTTTTTTTATTGGGTTTTAGAGGGAGAGGAAGGGAGAGGGACAGAGAGAGACACATCAATGTGGGAGTGAAACATGGATCAGCTGCCTCCTGCATGCCTCCTACTGGAGTCTGAACCCGCAACCTGGGCATGTGCCCTGATGGGAATCAAACCTGCAACCTTTGTTGCTCGGGATGATACACAACCAACCGAGCCACGCCGGCCAGGGCTCCATGGGAAAGTCTTTCCTCAACTATTTTAGGACTCTGCCCATTAGGGTTACCACTTACAATACACGTTAGGAAAAGACACGGAAAGAGCTGATCCCCGTATTCGTTTTCTCAGGGCACTGAGGGTAGGATGGGGGTAGATATCAGATAGATAATCCTAGTCTAAGGTTATATTATAAGAGAGTCCACGTCTAGCCCTATCCGATTGGGCTCAGTGGAGAGAGTGTCGGCCTGCGGACTCAGGGGTCCCAGGTTCGGTTCCAGTCAAGGGCATGTGCCTTGGTTGTGGGCACATCCCCACTGGGGGGCGTGCGGGAGGCAGCTGATCGGTCTCTCGTATCAATGTTTCTGGCTCTCTATCCCTCTTCCTTCTTCTCTGTAAAAAATCAATAAAATATATTTAAAAAAAAAGAATTTTCCAAAAATGAATTTCTCTCCTACATCTTTAACAGTGTTACACATTAGAAAGAGATTAACATATTCCAGTACAATTTTGCCTAAAGGCTAAGGCTAGATAAGTTACCCTCAAGGGTCACATACTCTTTTTTTAGAATATATTTTATTGATTTTTTACAGAGAGGAAGGGAGAGGGATAGAGAGTTAGAAACATCGATGAGAGAGAAACATCGATCAGTTGCCTCCTGCACATCTCTTACTGGGGATGTACCCGCAACCCAGGTAACATGCCCTTGACTGGAATTGAACCCGGGACCTTTCAGTCCGCAGGCCAATGCTCTATCCACTGAGCCAAACCGGTTTCGGCAAGAGTCACATACTCTTACGAAAAATGTTTACCCCGTATCGCAGCACTTTTCAAATGGGATCAACAGGGTCCTCAAGTCGTAATCAAGACACAATGCTCTGTATGCAAAGTATTCCGACTGGTAAGTGGCCTATTCCCAAACACTCACAGAGAGCTCAGGTGACTTATTAACTATGTTGTGAGTTGAATTACACAGCAGAGCCTAAGAATTTATGCAACCAGGATGAAAGTTTTATTTCTAGATCTAGGCCAAGATCTCTTTCCTGTAAGGTAAATCTCACAATACACTGTAGGATGTGTGAGGGTGAATTTTCACAAGAGGCCAGGAGATGGAACCTCTTCCTTTAAGTATAAGTTTGATGGACATTTCTGCGAGTTGGAAATTAAACTAGGATCAGCCAAGGTAAGGGCATAAACAGGCAGTCCACTCTCAGAGAGGAAGTAACATACTTCAGATCAGGGACGGAGCCCTTGTTTCCCTCCCTTGCACCCTTAACTAAACACACACAAGCACCAGCAATTTTAACAGTAATCACTTTCAGGGAACTGATGGTTTATAGCTAATGAATCAAGATTTCACTAGCCTAAAACAACCATTTGGCCAGAAGCTGTCTTTCCTGAATCCAGCTCCCAGAGGTGATGCCATGCCCCCTGCCCTTCTGCCCATTTTCCTCTACTTTCTTTGAAATTACTACCCAGTTGTTTCCCTTGAGAGAGAGACACATTCACTCATCTCTCTAAGGAGGCATGTTCCAGCTAATGTGGGGCTCTGCAAGAGGCGATCTACTGAACAGACCCAAGAGGAGTTAGCACAACCAATTCTCAAGTGGGAACTTGACTTTCCTCTAAGCAGACCAAGTTTACAAATTACCCTATAACTCCACTGTGTAAACATATTCTTTTATGGTATTGCTTATGCAGTTGATGAAGAAAAGCAGAAATTGTTAAATACAGAATTACAAAAAACAAACAAATGGCCCCACAGGGCCTGGTTTTTTACTTGATAGGCAGCTTTAAGGCTAGCGCTAATTGCCTCACTTAATGAAAACTTATGCAATATTTGAAGTCAATTATTACTTCGAAGCCTCCAGACAAAACATTGGAAAGAAGTCAATTGTACCTGAGATAAAGCTACTACCAAAACTACACTGACGTAGCACCACACACCCAGTCAAAACGACCAACAACACTAATGTTGGGGAAGGTGGAACTCATAACTGCTGCTACGTGTGCTAACTGGTTCAACTACTTTGACAAACTTTTTAGTGTTGTCTACGAAAGCTGCCCATAAACACAGTGTACAACCTGGCCAGGCCATTCCTGGATATACACCAAACAGAAATACATGCACACGGGCACAGACTTGTACAAGAATATGTGCAGCAGAATTACCAGTGCTGGTCCCCAGAAGAACCCGATGCCCACAACAGCAGAATATATAAACATGTTGCCGGGATAGTCATGTAATAAAAATGAACTATTACTATATGCAATCAGGATGATTTTCAAAAAGACCCTCACATTTTTGAGTAAAAGAAGCCAGACATAAATTAAGTCAGATGTTTTTGTTTATATTAATTTCAGAGAGAGGCAAAACTAACCCATGTTGTGAGGATTCAGGGCAGGGGTTCCATTTGGGGGAGGAGATTCTTACTCAGATATGAGTATGTTCACTTTGGAAAAATTCATCCAATGCGCGCTTCAGCCTTTCTGCAAGACCTTTTGTTTCAGGCGATGCACTGTTCCTTCAATTTGGCATGAATTTGGGAGTGACCTTGGGGGCCATTCTATTCACTCAACCACTACGTCTTGAAGATCCTTCTATACCAGGCACTGGGGGCACCGTGGTGAGCAAAACAGACACGGACCTTCTCTCACACAGCTTGGAATCTCATGGGGAGAGAGACATATTACCCACAAGATGAGCACAGCTACAGGTTAGGTATCACATTTACAAGTTACAGAAGCTGGAAATAGCCCAATAGGTGCCATGGGAAGTAGTGAAGTTTGGAGACAGCCCAAAACAAAGTCAAGGACAAGAGAGGCACGTGCTCTGCCTTCGGCACTCACCTGGCTCAGAGCTGCTGCTCACTGTGGGCCTAAAGCAGCAGACAGGATTTCTTTTTAGGCTTCTTCCTTTCCACTGGTGTTTTTCTATTGATCTGTCTGACCAGGTCATAAAATATCTAAATGAAAATAAGAAAAATGTACTTATTCAACCAGCATTTGAGACCTTGTTCCACACAACAATCTTGGTTCTGTTAAATATTATTCAGATAAAACATGAGTCAGATAAAAGGACTTATAGAACCAAAGGAGAGGAACAGCAAGAGAAAACACAAGGTTGTGATAGCCTCGCCTGCTCCCCGCTCCCACCATGCTGTGAGCGAGCTGCATTCTAAGACTGATTACCTGGGATGCTACACGTGGCGAGCACACCAGCAAGTGAAGCTTATGCGCTCCAGGAAAGGAAAAAAAGTGTAAAAAAAATGATGTTGAAAAGAACAAAAGGGAACCTCAAGCTTTTGCTTGGTTGGTGGTGGCAGCTGGGGACTGCACCAATCTTTTAGGGATCCAGTCAACTTTGGCCCTTTACACCCAGGCAGGCAGCTTACTTGTGAAGCATTCCTGTCCACAGCTACGTTCTCAAGATAGTGGAGTGCTTAAGTCATGGACAAAAAAAGCCTTGTGCACCTGCTGCATCAGGCCAAAAAGAGAGCGAATTACAGTCCACACTCAAATTCCTCACTTTGAGTCATGCACTAAAGGAAGGCAGAACTCAAAACACCAAATTCTGTGATATCCATGAGGTAGTATGTTTCTCTATAAATTCTTTATAGTAACTACTTTAATTTTTGTGGTTTCCTACTGACTTTATAACCTATTTATACATATCTGCATAAGCAATTGTACAATACACGGGTGATGTGACAATTTTCATACACTACTTTCTGGCCCATGTCTAGAGCAGGGGTGGGGAACATCCAGCCCAGGGGCTGTATAAGGCTCACAAAATCATTTGGTCTGGATCTGCCAAGGCATTAGGGGTGAGCTAATTAAATGTTTGACCAAATACAGCAGGCTAATTTTTTTTTTTTATATATATTTTATTGATTTTTTACAGAGAGGAAGGGAGAGAGATAGAGAGCTAGAAACATCGATGAGAGAGAAACATCGATCAGCTGCCTCCTGCACATCTCCTACTGGGGATGTGCCTGCAACCAAGGTACATGCCCTTGACTGGAATCGAACCCGGGACCTTTCAGTCCGCAGGCCGACGCTCTAGCCACTGAGCCAAACTGGTTTTGGCAGCAGGCTAATTTTTAAGCTGATAATTGTGTATGGGCCACGAATGATGTTATAAGTATCTAAATGGCCCTTGGCAGAAAGAAGGTTCCCACCCCTGATGAGGCTTAGCAGGACTTTAAACATATTCCTTTAGCTTAAACGTCCTCTTTGCATATAAGGTAAATATGAATGCCTTCATTACAGTCATCAAAGTGACTTTATGCAAACAAAGAATTACTTAGTGATTTCTATAAATCTGTAGAATCAAGATTGTTTAAAAGAATAATTTTTTTTTTCTTAAATAGTTTTCGGCTGTTAACTTAAAGACTAAAAAGACACTTGTCTGTGCTGCCCAGCAGCTGGAGGTTACCTCATTAACGTTGATCTTTGACTTTGCAGAAGATTCTAAAAAGGCACAGTTACACCACTGTCTTGCTAAATTCTGCCCCTGTTCTTTGCCAACTACTCGCTCATCTTCCAGGTCACATTTATTGCCAACCAAAATCATGGGAACCTGTGGGAGAAAGTAACAGGAAACGAACGCTAACATACTTGTTACTTATCCTTACAAGTAAGCAACTACCTGCCACCAACTGTGTTGTGCAAATGAGGACCGTATGCTTCACCGGGTGCTTAAAAAAGGTGTGCACATGTGGCTAGGGCAGTGGTTCTCAACCTGTGGGCCGCGACCCCTGTGGGGGCCGAACGACCCTTTCACAGGGGTCGCCTAAGACCATCGGAAAACACATATATAATTACATATTGTTTTTGTGATTAATCACTATGCTGTAATTATGTTCAATTTGTAACAATGAAAATACATCCTGCATATCAGATATTTACGTGACGATTCATAACAGTAGCAAAATTACAGTTAGGAAGTAGCAACGAAAATAATTTTATGGTTGGGGGTCACCACAACACGAGGAACTGTATTAAAGGGTCACGGCACTAGGAAGGTTGAGAACCATTGTGCTAGAGGGAGAAGGTGGATGGCAGGGGAAGAGACAGAAAAATTATAGAAGAGATCTTACTACACTGATCTGCTGATTATTTTAAAGATATAATCCCAAAATTCCCATGTGGGTTACAAGTGATAGCTGAATTCCAAGTGGAAAAATCTGAATATGGAAGAATGTACTCGAGGACCTAATTGTGGTTCAAGTGCTTCATCTCACAGTCCCAACAAATGCCAGAAGTAGTGGCAAGACCAATACAGGAGCAGTGACAAGTACTGCTTCTACACCTGACATCTAAATCTGAGACCACTTCAGGTGGGTTGTTCAGGAGAAAATACAGCCAGAGCAGTGACGAATTCGCTTTTTCTCCATACCAGAAATGCTTGGCTATGTCCACCCACAGCCCCTACTTCCGATAAAACAGATTGGTAACAAAATGTACCACACCCTTAGTTCAAAGATGCCCACAGAGCAAAGCCATTTGTGAGGTGATGGACATGATACAAAAGAAAGAATTTAAGGGACATGATGGATCTTGTACCTAAAATAGGCAATTATCACAAGTTAGATGAAACACTAAGCACCTACAACTAACTCCATTGTTTTTAGTTTGTTATATGGATAAAATGATGACCATTACCAGAGTTCAGTGGTTTGCATGTAACTGCCTAAAAAACAGAACTCTCTTAGATAAATTAGTCCTGGGAAGGAAGAGGACTATTCATTAGGTTATGGTTGGTCGTGAATCATATGGTATAAATCCATCCCGCCTACAATATTGCCTAAGTGAAGGTCCCCAGCAGGTGCATATGTTCCCATTAATAATGAGAGAGAACACACAAAGAGAAAAAGGTACAAATGAAATTTAATATCCTGATTGATACAACTGAAAGGGAAGCCTCCATAGTTCAAAACTGAAGCAGACATGTAAAATATACATTTCACCTTCGCAAAAAGGCACAAAAACAACAAATGCCAAATAAGATAAAAATTCTAAAACAAAAATAAAATTAAAAATATAAAAACCTGTCCTAGCTGGTTTGGCTCAGTAGATAGAGAGTATCGGCCTGTGGACTGAAGGGTCCCAGGTTAAATTCCAGTCAAGGGCACATGCCCGGGTTGTGGGCTCGATCCCCAGTAGAGGGAGTGCAGGAGGCAGCTGATCAAAGATTCTCTCGCATCATTAATATTTATATCTCTCTCTCCCCACTTCCTCTCTGCAATAAATAAAAATATATTTTAAAAAATAATAAAAACCTGGTTAACGAAAATCTTTTAACAAAAACACCTGTAAATAAAAACTATACCAACAGAACTTTAGAAATAGGAACAAATCATTATGATTCTTAGCAATGTTCTTTGAACACTGTTTCTGACATAATGTCCACCTCTCAAAGCTCAACCGAGCCTCACTTCTACCCGCCTTCTTCCACCCCTGCTTCTGCACGTCCTACCCACAGAGCAGGAACACGTCATCATTCCTGTCCTCCCTTTTGAACTATCTCAATAGGCATATAATTTGTAGGTAAATTATAAAGGTAAACATTTTTTGTGTGTGTGTGTGACAGGGGCTCTTTTAGGCATGTGGTAGATACCCCCCAAATACTCTACTGAGAGAGAACAGGCACTTTTTATTCGGCCGCAGAGAGATAGCAGTGTGTCTTACAGAGAGAAGAATACTTACATCTTCTGTGTCCTTAACCCGTAAAATCTGTTCCCTCAGGTCCTGTAAGTCATTAAATGTGGACTGAGCTGTAATAGAATATACTAGTGCAAACCCTTGGCCATTCTTCATATACAAATCCCTCATCGCTGTAAATTGCTCCTGTAATAAAAATACGCAATTATAAACATGATTTCTTGAACACACATTAGGACAACTTAAATCAGAATAATCACAAGTGAGCTACTGCATTTTTTATTTACATGCTATTATGACAATAAACATAAGACATGATGCATGGTTTCTAGAAACTCCTGAGGTGAATGTTCCTGCTCTCTACTTACCTGACTGGAAATAACGACAATAAACTAGAATTAGAAGGAAAATCTTAACCACCTTAATTTACTTTTGTGTGATTTAGAAAAAAACTATATATCATTCATTACTTTTTTACTAATAGGTCCTAATTAAATCATTTTAGTGCTAATAAAGATGATCTCAAGGCAGTGATGCTAGAAAACAGAAGCCCAAGTACTGAACGTGGAGGCTCTCAATCATGAAGAGCGTGTAGAAATAAGACGTATCTGAAAAGAAAACTTAGGAGTAACCAAGGACACAGGCAAAAACCAAGCCAGGGTTGTTTCCTGGAAGCCAAATGAATATACAGTGAATCACTCATCTAAGGTTGTTGAAACATCAGGGGAGTTGAGTGCAGGAGGTAGCTGATCAAAGATTCTCTCGCATCATTGCGAGAATATGCAGGAGATTGTTTAGGAATGAGAGACCATGGGCCTGAAGCTATGTGAAGAGGGGATTGAGGGTACGAGGAATAATCAAAGATGTTATAATAAATGGAACCACGTTCTAATGAAGTTAAAGGGTATGAAAGAAAGGAGATGGAAAATGGAAGTGGTAAGTGGAGAGCGTCATGCTTGAAAAGGAGACTGGGTGGTATTACAGTTATGGGCAATCACATAGTCTAAGGTAAGACCATGGGTGTGAACGGCTGAAGCAGGATGGAGGTCAAGGCTACTGGATTATCTACAACATCTATAGAGATTCTATCTGGACACTAAAATCACCAAGAGTTCTAACTGAAGCAATATTAGAATGAGCAAAAATCTTCAAGGAGTAAGAAGTGATTGGAAACAAGATATACTAATGTTATTGTACTCATTTAAAGATAAGAAAAATGAGGCTCCAAATAATCCTAAAGAGTTTTGTCAGAAAACAAGTATCTGGCCCTAACCGGTTTGGCTCAGGGGATAGAGTGTCAGCCTGCGGACTGAAGGGTCCCAGGTTCTATTCCGGTCAAGGGCATGTACCTTGGTTGCGGGCACATCCCCAGTGGGGAGTGTGCAGGAGGCAGATGGTCGATGTTTCTCTCTCGTTGTTTCTAACTCGCTATCCCTCTCCCTTCCTCTCTTTGAAAAATCAGTAAAATATATTGAAAAAAAGAAAACAAGTATCTGTCAACAACCCTTGAGATGTTAAAATACTAATAAAAGCAAAATAATCTTTATAAAAATGAATGACTATGGTGCCAAGAGACCATACTTATTTAAACCCAGTAAACTACTTATCTTAACTAAAATTCTGGGTTTGAAATACCCTTTTTTGGGGGCATTAACAGCATCATCCTTACCTGAACACAGGGAGAAGAAACCCAACACAGAGAACCCATAGGTGAACTCAACATATAATTTAATAGAGAGATATGAGCTTTAAGTCCACCATCGATGGTGTCATGCACATAAAAACACTTAAGAAGCCCTACATTTAGAGAACTTGTTCTAAATCATAATAATTACTTCTACTCAGAGGAGTTATTCAGGTGATAAAACCTGTTCACAAATTGAAATCTATCATAAAAGGAGAAAGCATGCTTACCGTTCCTGCTGTGTCCAGGATTTCGAGCATACACTGTTGGCAATCTACTTCAACTTGCTGTTGGGGGCGGGGAAGAAAAGGTGAAAAAGTAACATCAAAGCCTCAGTCTGTTTTCCTCCCCCCTCTTCACTCCAGTGCATACGAACAAGGGCAACGTGCTTCCCCAGAGTGTGCTGGATCGGTAAGACTTAACTTGGTATTGCAATTAGGAACAGGAGGTCTCAGGCATTTTCTATTAATATTACAGAAGCCAGGGCTATCAATGTTGGGCTTAGATATTTTCTGATCACTGTGAACTCTGAGTAATGACTTTTGTTATTACTAGAAAGCTACTGGTCAAATTCTATGACTTAAGAAAAACTGTAGGAAAACAGGTATAGTTCTAACAGAAAAAATGCATAAAGTGATCATTCATATTATTTTTAAAGAAAACAAAGCACAAAGTATTAAATCCCAAATTTAATACACAGGAAAACTTTAGTTTAAGAGATACAGGGAACACAGAGGTGCTAGTGAGTATCACTGAACTCATACAGTCCTCAGGACTTGAGGAAAAAGATACTTCTTAGGAAAAGCTGTGTGTATAAGGTGAAATTTTATAACTGAACTCTACTTTCCCAGTGTTTTATTTGTTTTTTTGAAGTGAACATATCACGATTTTATTGTCACATAATAAAACAAAATATGAAGCTTAGAACTGGACCCTTTCTTTTCTTATCTCCTCCCAGTTCAAAATGCTTGCATCTCTTAATAGCCAGCATTCTCTTAGATCGGCAGTTGGGCCCAACACATTCAAGCCTCAGTACGATCTTCTTTGTAGCTTTAGCCTTTTTTTTGGTAAAAATCGGCTTAGTCTGCCCACCATAGCCACTCTGCTTCCTGTCAGGATGCCGCTTTCCCCGCGCACACAGAGAATCCTTGCCCTTCTTGTACGTGTTACTCTGTGGGGCTGATGTTTGCCACACTTCTTACAGAAATTCCCGTGGGTTTTAGGAACATTCACCGTGTTTGCAAGAGCACTTTCGGCAGGGAAAGCCCAGTGTTTTATAAAAGAAGAGAAGGTTGGCTTAAAGAAAGTATCAGCTCTCAGGTGCGGACACTTTTTAATAAAGAAGGGACTGAGAAATGTGGTCAATCTCCTGCCTTCCAGGTACAGGTCTCCATGTGGAGTTACAGCTTTAACCAGCAACGGATTTGGGGGAAATCTCAGTAACGCAACACTGTCTCCAAAATTAGCCTAAGGCCTACTTTAAACTCTGCTTCTTTGTCAGATCAGGGACTGAGAAGCACCACTGGTGGCCACAGTCATTGTCCCACCACTTGTGGGACAAATGTGGTAGCCTGCCCAATCTGTAAAGGGCCATTCAATGAATAATGAATTAGGCCTGGAGCTTCTCAAAGTATCTAGAGCACAATTTTGTATCCAATGTGCAGATAATGAAATTGCTCAGTCAGTACAGTTCAATGAACTTCATTTCCTATTGTTGAATGGTAGGTTTAATCTTTTCTTTCCCTTTCTCTCTCTCCCCCCCTCCCCCTCTCTCTCTCCTCTCTTTCCTTTCTTCCCTCCCTCCCTCCCTTCCTTCCTTCCTTTCTTCCTTCCTTTCTTTGGTATATTGTTAGCTATAGTCTTTTTTATAACACTGTCTTCTGCCCACCATCCACCCCATCAGATTTGGGAAATAAAATCATAAAAATCATCCACAATTCTAGCTAATCTTGTAATTAAGTAAAATAGTATATTTTGTCAAGATCAACTTTTCCCTTTTAAAAAGCTTTTATTTTTTAGATTCACAAGAAAACTTGGCAAAAATACAGAGTTCCAATGTACCCTTCCCGTTTTTAACTGGCTTCCCCTACTACCAGCACCCCACACTCGAGTTGATTCTGTTAGAACTAATGAACCTACTATATCAACACATCATCACCATGCAAAAGCCACAGTTTACATTAGAGTTCACTCTTGGTGTTGTACATTCTACGATTTGGGATAAATGTATAATGACATGTATCTACCATTATGGTATCATACAGAATCCAACAACCAATTTTTTATAGTTTAAAGATGAAATTTCTTTAAAGTTATTATAAAACTAAACAGACTTTCAGTCACTGGAAAACTTCAAGCATTAAAGTTACTTAATTTTCATATTTTACCTTTCTGTAGGAATCTTCTATCGTGGGGTCATATTTTTCAACAAAAATTCCCTGAACAAACTGAACTGTCTAAAAAAAAAAGGCAGAGAAAAATTAAAGAATTAAAAAAAAATCAACTCCTCTAAATGTTATTAACCTCACAATGTGGTAAAGATTAAATGAAATTATGTGAAAAGCCTGGGTAAACATCTTTCAATATAAGGACATAATAAGAGTAACTTACTATGAAAGGCGATGGTCATGTTCAAAACTGTCAGCAGTGTTGTTGCTGACATCGCACTGCTAATTATTACGTATATTACGTTTTAAAATGCAACAAAGATACAAATAACGACACAGATTCTAATTTATTAAAAAATGAAAATTATCAGCAAACTTCCATTACTCCTCTGTATTTCTATATATAACTTTTATCTCATGCTCTGAAAGGAGACAGATGTAAGGTTCTAAATTTTAAAGTCTTGAACCAGCCTTTCTAATTTTGGGGAAAAGATAAAAGGGAATTAAAATGTACTGGATTTATTACATTTATAATCACATTCAAATTTCACATTCACACCAGCTGAGATTCAAATGTACACCATCCTGATTCTGAAGCCTTATGCTTTACACTGGAAAATGCTGCCTACAAATCTTTTTCAGATTATCTACTTTTATCTCTAGGATTTCTGTAAAGCACAGACTAGAAACTAGGTATTTTATCATTTGACAAATGGAAAGAAGTACAGAAGATGACTGTGAAATATTTCCGGGAGAGCTTTAAACAGGATGTGGCCCATTAATCCTAGAGAAAAAGGTAAAGATGTGGGCTGAGAGTCTGACACCAAGTTACCCAGAGGAGTATTTTGAACATGATTTTAGCTTGAGCTAAATAGATTAACTTGAATACAGTAAACTTCAAACATCTCTCTTACTAATCTTTTCTTCAAAGGAAACTCAGGATATAATCACACCAAGAACTTTAAACTTCCTAATATGCTTTATGCTAGAGCAGAGGTCCCCAAAATATGGTTCAGGGCAGAGGGTTAGAAAAACACTGTTTTCCTGCCCCTGCCCCTGCCAGGTGGCTTGGCTGGTTGAAGCACCATCCTGTACACCAAAAGGTTGAGGGTCTGATCCCCAGTCAGGGTGCGCAAAGGAGGCAACCCGATCAATGTTTCTCTCACATCAATGTCTCTTTCTCTCTCCTCCCCCCAGCCCCCTCTCCTCTCCTCCAAAATCAATGAGCATATCCTCAGGTGAGGATCAAAAAAGTCCTAATCTGACCCTAGCCTGCTTCTCACCTCATTTCCCTCTACTTTCCCCCTTGCTCATTCCTACCCCAGCAATTTCAACTTTTCTCTTAGTTGTTTTAATGCTAATTTAGGTTCACTTGTCACCAATTTGTACTTTTCGTTCAAAGTCATCTCTCCTGCAAATTATAATCAAGTGGTTCTTTGTTTAACTGTGTATTTATCATATCTCTCCCAGGATGATGTAAGGTCTGTGCAGGACTGGGATGGCTTGTGTTCACTGCCACAACCCCAGTGCCTGACATTGCAGAAGCTCAATAAACAGTTACCAAATAAATGCAGCATGCATACAAAACATGGCCTTCGCTCCACTTAAGTCTAGGTTAGGGTAGGGCTTACTCCACTGGTATCTACAGTGTCAGTGTAGTCTCTCCCACTGAAATGTAAATGCCTTAAAAATGAAAACAATCTTATTTCTCTTTGAATCATGAACGCTATAGAAGGTAACCAATAAATACTTGGTAAATGAAAGAATGAACGAGCCACCATTATAAAACTACACATCCATGGTTATTGAAAGAATCCCTGTCCCCTCTGGGTCAGATATAAGCATATAAAAAACACTGGCACCTTTTCTCTTTAGTGACTTGAGGTTTCAAAGCAAAAACACAGCCATGTTCTTGTATTATACTAGTTGGTTATAGTTAGGTGGCTAACTTACCAGAGCAGACTTCCCCACGCCTCCTGAACCAAGGACCACTAGCTTGTACTCACGCATGGTGTGGTCTGTTTAAATACTGACAATCTGGAAAAAAAAAATCGAGGATAACTACACATGCTAAGATTAGCCTAAGAATGTACAACTGCTACATGAAATAATGGGACTTTATTTTTGTTTGCTTTCCCCCTTAAGGCTATCAAAGCGAAGACAGAGGTTGCACAGTAAAACTATGCAGATTTTAACATCACTTTATAGGACTACTGCCAAGCATTTTACTTCATTAAAGATCATTTTTGACTAGCATCAATCATTAGCCTGTTTGTTACTTCTAAGAGTGTTTGATCAGAAAATAACTTTAAAACTAGCAGTTATAAGTACAGTCATAAACTCAATTATTTATGAAGCTCTCATTTAAAACAGCTTATGTACTTTTTTGAGTTTACTCATGAGCTTTAATATAATGTACATACATGCTATGTAATTTGCTTAAAATAGCATATAGTAATTCTATACTATTTTGTTCACATTATTACATATAGCTGAACTATGTAAAATGTTAACTCAAAAATTATTAGGCTACAAATGGGAGATTAGGGATAATATCGTTAAAATTTTATATAGGTGGGTAATAGTAATATACTCCATAAGGCCCAAATTGCTAAAGAGAAAAAAAAGAAATATACCCTGATTATCTTAAAAAGTAAAAAAGGCAGGAAAGTATTTCCAATGGCCATAATGGAATATGTAGGAATGAACTTGCCATCCTAAAATAACAGCAAAATACCAGACAAAATATATAAAAACAACTGCTTTCAGACACTGGTAGGTAAGCAATATAGGACTGTGATCTCCGAGAGGTGGGAGGAAATGAAGTGAGATCTACAATGGCCCTGGCTTTCTGCTTGAAGGCACTTTTCAGACTGTGGTGCAGGAAGGAAGAACTCAAGCAGAGACCAGAAGCATATCAGCGAAGAGATTATGCACAGAGAATTCCAGAAATCTGCACAGGGGTCTACTTGAATCTATGGCCAAACACTAAGCAGGGCATTCAGGATGAAACTCCAAGAGGCAAGGCAAAGAACAAATAGGGATCTACAAGCTGACCGATTCCCAGAATGCTGGGAAATAGGGGAGTTCTGACCAGAAAAGTCCTCCTTGTTGAAATACAGAAAATTAATTCAATCCCAAGATTCATACTTGAGAAGCAGAATCACTAGAATAGAAGAATTCTAGATGCTTCCTAACAAAGCTCAAAAACAAGTCTCCGAAGAACAGAGCCAATCCATAGGTAACTCAACTGCCTATCATAATAAAACCCCAAATTCTTTAAACATGAAAAAAAAAATCCATCGTACAATGTAAAGTTTACAATGTCCATAGCATCCAATAAAACATTAGTAGATATATGAAGAAGAAAAAAAATGTGACCTGAAAATGAGGGTGAAATGAGTTCACTGTAACAGCCACAGAAATGAGATTATGTAATGAGGTCACTAAAACTATTATAAGCAAATAAGTATGCTCAAAGATTTAAAGGAAAATATGAGGAAATGATAGAAATAAAAAAGAACCAAAGTAAATTTCTAGTGTTCAAAAATAATATCTGCAATGGAAATATCACTGAATGGGATTAATAGCATATTAAATACTGCAGATGAAAATTTCAGAGACCTAAGATGCAGAAAGCAAACGGTTATGATGAAGAGGGTAAAAAGAGAAGTAGAAGGGGGAAAGGGAGAGGGAGAAAGGAGAGAAGAAAGGTAAAAGAAAGAAGAGAACCACAGGGCAATATCAAACTATCAAAAGTATTTTCCAAAATGATAAGAAATATAGATCAACAGATTTAAGAAACTCAGTAAACCCTCTCCTCAGTATAAATACAAAGAAAAGTACAAGGCACAATAATTAAATTCCTGAAAAGTTGGCAAAAAAAGGAAGGGTTATAAGAAGCGAGAGAAAAAAGTTTAGATGAATGCTAAATGCAATGAATATATTCTTCAAAAATGAAAGTAAAAGAATTTTTTCAGATTAAAAAAAAAACAGCTGGGAGTTCACCAGAACACGTCTGTAACAAGCAAAGGAAGTTCTGGTGGGAAGAAAATGCTGAGACAGAAACTTAGATCTACATAAAGGAATGAGCTGTGTTGATCGATGCAACAACATGAATGAACTCAAAAATACGCTCAGCAAAATAAACCAGACACAAAAGAGTGAATACTGTATAATTCCGCTTATATAAAATTCTACAAAAGATGAACTTATAGTGCCAGAAAGCTGCTTGGGACCAGTGGTGGTAAGGGAGGGGTGATGACAACCAAGGAGTATAAGGGAACTTTTGGGGGTGATGACAATGATCTGTACCTTGACTGTGGTGGTGGTGACATGGGGTGTATGCATCTATCAAAACTTACTGAAACATGCCGAAACCAGTTTGGCTCAGTGGATAGAGCGTCGGCCTGCGGACTGATAGGTCCCAGGTTCGATTCCGGTCAAGGGCATGTACCTGGGTTGCGGGCACATCCCCAGTGGGGAGTGTGCAGGAGGCAGCTAATCGATGTTTCTCTCTCATCGATGTTTCTAACTCTCTATCTCTCTCCCTTCCTCTCTGTAAAAAATCAGTAAAATATATTGAAAAAAAAATACTTACTGAAACTGTACATTTAAAATAGGTGCATTTATTATATGTAAATTAGAGCTCAACAGAATTTAAGAAAATTCAATGGGGGAAAAAAGGGAAATTTCTCAGAGAGCCAATTATATACACAGTGTTATGAATTGAACGTGTTTCCTGCAAATTTTTTTTCTTTTTAATCCTCATATCCAAGGATATTTTTTCCATTGATTTTTAGAGAGAGTAGAAGAGAAAGGAAAAGACAGAGAGAAATATTGTTGAGAGAAACACATCAATTGGCTGCCTCCTGTGTGAGCTCCACCAGGGCCCAGGGAGGAGCCTGCAACCAAGGTACATGCCCTTGACCAGAATTGAACCCGGGACCATTCGGTCTGCAGGCCGACACTCTATCCACTGAGCCAACCCAAGTAGGGTTCCTGCAAATTCTTACGTTGAAAACCTTCTCCTAACCCGATGGTATTAAGAAGTGGGGACTTTGGGAGGTAATTAGGGTTAGACGAGGTCATGAGGGCAGAACCCTGATAAATGGGATTAGTGTGCTTATGAGAGATCCAAGACCTCAATTCTCTGCCTTGTGAGGATACAAGACAGCCAGGGCGCAGGTCCGCACCAGACACCTCATCTGCCAGTGCCTTGATCTTGGACTTCCCAGCCTCCAGAAGTGTGAAAAACAAACTTGTTTAAGCCATCCAACCTGTGGCAATTTGTTATAGCAGCCCAAACTGTTAAGTAACATAGCAAGGATAAATTAGTAGACTATGCAACAGACATAATGGCAAATATGATTGTTGTTCTGAATCAAACATTTTCAAAGCATCTCCTAGGTATTAGTTCAATACGAGATGCCAGGGACATAAAAATCAAAAGCATATGTTTCCCATCCTCAAGTAGCTCACAGAGGAAGAAAAAATAACTACCACATGATGTGAACAAAGTTATCAGAAACAAAATTAAAGGGGTGGAGGATCAGAGGAGAGTGCAGTTTTTCATGCAAGTTACATAACAGCTAAGTAATAACTAAACAGAAATGCTCCAAGTCTGTAGGGAAGGGCATTCCAAGCAGAAGACACACCTTGAGCTAACACTCTATACCAGCCGTGGGCAAACTATGGCCCGCGGGCTGGATCCGGCCCGTTTGAAATGAATAAAACTAAAAAAAAAAAAAAGACCGTACCCTTTTATGTAATGATGTTTACTTTGAATTTATATTAGTTCACACAAACACTCCATCCATGCTTTTGTTCCGGCCCTCCGGTCCAGTTTAAGAACCCATTGTGGCCCTCGAGTCAAAAAGTTTGCCCACCCCTGCTCTACACCATTAAATAGAGAAGATCCAGGGAAGACAACGTCGTTCGGTGTGGTCAGAACACAGGGTATAAAAGGTCTGAAAAATGAGGCTGGGTATGGAGACTGGGCAATGCTTGCAAAGGCATTTGCCATATTAAAGAGTTTACATTTTATCTAGTAAGCAATGGGGGGGGGGGGGCCCTGATTTTTTTGAAAAGTAATACAGTTAGATATTACTCTGGAAAGGTAACTAATAGCAATACATAAAATGGACGGAGGAAAGAGACACTAGAGGCAGGAAGAAGAGTTATGGGGAGCGACTAGAACAGCTCAGGTGGCAAGGACAGAGGCCTGCACAGCAGCACTACGCTGAAGGGGGAGCAGTGCTTTCGTGCGAGGGGACTCCACCGCCAACTAGAGGTTATTAAGGTGAAGGAAGAAGTCAATGGTAACTCCTAGATATCTAGCTGGGAGAAATTAGGTGGCTGGTAGCACACCTCCCATTAAGACAGGAACTACAAAAAGAGGTTTAAAAAGAAAGTTAAGCCCTGATCGGTTTGGCTCAGTGGATAGAGCGTCGCGCTGTGGGCTGAACGGTCCCGGGTTCGATTCCGGCCAAGGGCATGTACCTTGGTTGCGGGCACATCCCCAGTCGGGGGTATGCAAGAGGCAGCTGATTGATGTTTCTCTCTCATCGATGTTTCTAACTCTCTATCCCCTTCCCTCCCTCTCTGTGAAAAATCAATAAAATATATATTTTTTAAAAGTTAATACTTTTAGCCAAAAATCTGTTTTGAGAATCCTATGGGAAAGCAGGTAGAGTCTGGAAGCTCGGCAGAAACCAGTGGGCTTGAGGTAAAGATGTAGGAGTTGTTATGAAAAAAGGTAGTTGAAACCAAAGATGATCAATCCAGGGGCATTTATTCAATGAATACAGAAGAAAGGTTGGAACTGAGCTCTGAGAAACAGCCACATATAGATGGATAGAAAACCTGAGGAAAAAATGAAGTGGGAGAGGTATATTCTGGACCTGGTCACCCTATACCTCTGTTTGTGTCAAGTGATTCTCCCATTTCTATGAAAAAAAAATACTGACAATTAAACACAAGAGCATGTATTTCATCCAGACAGACCTCCATATCCATAACTCCCTTTCTAGGCCCCA